TTTTTTTTTTTTTTTTTTTTTTTTTATGTAACCATTCTAATAGGTATGAAGTGATACTGGGCATTTCTAACTTTTCATAACTAATCCGAACTATTCTACTTCCACCAGTAGTTTTCCCAACCCTGTAATTAAAGCTGCGTATCATCAGGTTTTTGATAAGAAAGTTTTTTGGTTTTAATATTCTATTCTTTGATTGCTGATGATGTTCATTTCTCTTTTTAAATTTTTTGTTCATCTATTTTTCCTGTCCTTGTCTATTTTTTTTTTAAGCTTTCCCACTAAACTCACGGGCCATATAAATATACAGTAGTACCTCAGTTCACGAACTCAGTTTGTTTCACCATTTTGGGAAGATGACTACAGTTATGTGGGGAAGATGGCCCTGGTCGTGTTTGTTACCCATGTAGAGTTTGTGAGCAGAAGCAAAATTTCATCGAATGCTTTTGAGAACCAAATTGTTTGGGAACAGAAGCATTCGCGAACTGACGTATCACTCTTTTGGAAGCATTGACTTTTAATGGATTTGCCAGTGTTCCTCTGATGGTTACTTTTGTGAGAGCTCAGAGCCATTTCTGGACTTTGTACCTTAGCTTTTCTCGGTTTTCTTGGGAAGTGTCTGTTACACAGGGTTCCTTGTGTCTGTAGCCTGTGACCAGCAGTGAGTATTTCTGTGCGGACCCTGGCAGGCAGCTTGTGACAGGGACAGGACGTCCACTCTGGCTTCGCTCGCAGCCTCAACCTTCTGCAGATGAAACCCTGTGCTGTTTGCCCCTCGTTTGTACAACCACACATCCCTACTGTGTTCTCATATTGTCTCTTAGTAACTGTGTGACGATCTGAGGCAGGATACTCCCCTCTTCTTTTCTGACAGAGATGAAGTGGGGCAGGAAGAGCGCAGCAAATTACGTTCAGCCGCTAAGCAAGCTGAGTCCCTTAAATGCAGGATGAGGTTAGCCCAGAGCACCTGTGGCCACATCTCCCGAAGGCACAGGCTGGCCCCTGGCTTTATCAGATGTCCCCCACCTGTGACAATGGCATACACAGGGGGCCCCATTAGGGTTGAGGCAGCAAGAGCTGCCTGTCCACTTGCCTCTTCCTGGCCACTGAGTGAGGTCCCCACACTGACCCCAGCTTCCCCAAGAGCACTGCTGTGGCCACACACAAACTGGGTTTGGGGGGGCTAGTGTGACAGCAGCTGAAAAGGGATCCAGTGGGAAAAGGGGCAGTGTGATCATAGAAACAATGAACTCTGTAAGGCGGAAATAACTCCAAAGGTATCGGTCTCTTTTCTTACCCAGAAGAGGAGGCCAGGACTTGAGGGAGCCCACACTCAGGCTGTCCTGGGTGGACTGGCCTTTCTCTAGGCAGTGCTTGTCATGGGAGGTGACCAAAGACAGGACAGAGTGGTTCAGAGCCTGGGCTTTGGAATCTGACCTCCTGGTCTTGAATCCAAGCTGGGACCACCTGTGTGCCTCAGTTTCTCCATCAATAAAGGGGACATGTTTGTATCATCTCTTTAATGTACTGGCTGTGATGACTTTACAAAAACCTGAGCAGTGCCTGGTAGCTGCTCTGGGTCATGGTGATTATTGCTGTCGCCCTCTATGGATGGGCCAGAGGGGGTTTCTATTCCATTGTCTTGTGTGTCTCTGGCCCAGACTGTCCCATAGGCCAGGTGTTTTCTTTGTGACCTTCAAGGCCCTAAGGCCAGTGGGACGCTTTGGCCATTCATGTTGTCCACATAGCAGGTGCCCACTGCCTTCTCTCTGCAGTGCTGGGGATGGAACCCAGAGCCTCACACATGCTGGGCGGGCGCTGTACCACTGAGCTGCACTCCCCAGCCCTCTCTCACTGTTCTTATTTTGTTTGTTGAACCAGTTGACTCCAATGACAGCCTCTACGGTGGAGACTCTAAGTTCCTGGCTGAAAACAGCAAGCTGTGCGAGACAGTGATGGCTCAGATCCTGGAGCACCTGAAAACACTGGCCAAGGACGAGGTGGGTGCCTGGCTCTGAAAAGCATGTGTTTCCAAGGTGGGTGGATGTCGGTCTATCCTGAAAGGGAAAGAATTTCATAGGGATGATGTGTTTATGAGCAAAATGCTCACCGAGCACCCCAGGACCTTTGATACTACCGTTCTCTCTGCCTGATTTTCACCATTCACGCCTCAGCTCCAAAGTACAGCACATCCAGAGTCCATCCCAGACCCCTCTCAAGTAACCACCGTGCACCTGCCTGTCCCTGTGAAAACATCCCTGTTGCACTCACTAAACTTACTTCTGTAGTGCTCTGTGTACCTGCTGTCCACACGTCTTCCCCCACCATCGGAAGTTCCGAGGCAGAGGGGCCTCAGGAGCCTTGCAGGTCTGCCTTGCAGGTCTGGATGACCAGTGTCTCGGACAAGCCCAGCCACAGCCTCCCACGGTCACTCACGTCAGCTCCGCACCCCTGCCACATGGAGCCAGCAGAGAGCAGGACAGGGTGATCAAATAACAGCCTGTGTTCTACTCCTGAGCTTTTAGCACACACAGTGCCCCTGTGAGAGAGGCACCATG